ATACAATTTTGTGCATGAAATTACTTCGTGGACGTAGCACTTTGTGGTAAATCAAGTTAAATTTGTATGGACTCGCGTTCTTACTCTTGCATGTTACTTTTACTTGTGTTTTTGTGAATATTTTACCAAGATTTGACAACAACTTTGTTCACAATTTGCTGACAACTTTGTCATAAAAACCACATGACATTTTTTTTTCAATGACATTGTTTGTACATTGAAATGCAGAAAGTTTAAACTGTGATGTGAAAGAAATTCATACTTCTTTAGAGTCTGCCATGTTCAATTTGTCAAGTATACGTCCAATATATTTGCCTTGACTCAATCATAAATTCTTTTTCTTTGAATTCTAATAAATGTTCATCCATATTATCTTCTTTGACTCACTCAATTTTTTTATCTTGAATGCTAACTTCAACTAGTTTTTGCATCTATCAATAATCAACACGTTTCTTTTAATGAGCATGTAATTCACGTAGAGTGTTAAAATGATAAAGTTGAAGATCTCATTATTCATCTTTTTCATATATACACAGGGATCATATACACTACATGAAAAATCTTGTGTCTTCATCAATTTGTCAAATCTCATATTTCAATTACTAAGAATTTGCTTCAATTAATATAGTGATTTCAATAATCTCCTTATCATTTTATCCTGACCTTTCACCTTGAAGTTAACTGGTTGTCTCATGTATCTTTACTCCTTCATAATTTCATAAAAAATTAATCATGTCCATCTAATCCATAGCAAGACTAAATATTGCAGTTAGTGCACATAGCAAACGAATTCTATCATAGCGTGATAGCAGATAATTACCAAAATGGAACATAATGATAAAGATATGATCCCAAGAGTACAGAAATAACAAAGAGAACAAAGAAGTCTCACATATTAACAGTCTATTGAAGACTTTGACCTCTCAAGCGCATGTCACTCCCAGAAGTAGTGCATTTGCTAAGTCTGAAGGCAGCACATTGCAGTGTAGATTCTCACTCAATTCTTGAAATTCATCCAATCAAGTACTACAGAGTTCAATTGTGATTCTGCTCTTGGTATTCACGGGGGAAAATTCCCAAAGTATACATTCAAATAGCTGCACCGAGCTTCCAATTAACAGATTTGCTTAAATCCGAAGCTAGTACTACACTACTCAGAACATCCGAATTGGATCCTCTACTTTGGATGTGGTATCTTTGACAAACCGAAGCAACTCACGCACGGTGGCAAACATACTCAATTTCACAAACGCGCGGAGAATGCAAGCTAAAAATTGAGAAAACTAACTACTGAAAATTCCCCGAAGTCAAAGCCTTGGCCCCTTTATTTCTAACAAACACCTTGATATGTCACTTGCTATGCCGCGAGCTACCAACAGGTGCGAAGCCAGCCGATCCAGAAGTTATCATGCCTGTTGAGTTTCTATCTAATCCTAACGTACGCAAAACGGTTGACAGTTTCAATTCGAGGTTTTCATTCGTCTTCTCTTCTCTAGAGAAACGAATCTAACTTTCTAGCTAACTAACAATGTCCATCTACACTACAAGCAATCATCGTCGTCACTCAACGCTCCAGATTCCGCAGCTTCAACCACTTCTGCGTCTTGATCTATCATATAACGAAATCGCGAAGACATAGGTTCATCTTCTCGGTCAAGGCTTCGTTCGTCTGCTCCGCTAACTGCCGAATCCTCTCCTCCACTTCAAGCAGTTTTGCTTCCACCTTGCCCAACTGCTCTTTTGCTGCCGATCGCTGCGATCGCAAACCATTGCAGTCAGCTTTCAACTTCTCCAGCTCCTGAAGACCGAGCAGCTTCACACTCTGCCAACTCCTTCCCCTTTGTTGCCAACTCAGCTACATGCGACTGATCTTTCTTTGCCAAATCTGTAGTCAACTCATCCACACGACGCTACTACTCATTGAAGGCTATCCTAGAAGCCTCAAGTCTATTCGGAAGGTCAACAGTCGCCCGCCTGGTAGTCTCAATGTCACACAGAAGGCTCTCACATGCTTTTTTCAAAGACTTCAGAAATTGCTTCTCCTTGGCTAAACTCTTCTGAAGTCCCGCGCATTGTGACTCTGACTCCCGAAGTCAATTTTCCTTCTCTTGCAGCGAAGCCTTCGCCGTTGCGCACTCTGCAGTTAAGCTCTCTATTTGCTTGGCTGTTTCTATGGATGAGACAACCTTCGTCCGTGTCATGTTATGAACTAACTCCACGTAAGATCCTTCGTCGGATGACTCGGCATACTTCTCCAACTTTCCATCTAAATAACGGAGTAAAGGAATTACTTGCTCACACAACACATCTGCCACATTGATTTTGACCGACTAAGTCTCTTTTGCCGAAGGGTCTTCTTTAGTCTCCACGATGACGGTTCCCGTAGACGTCCGAGGCAAAGACGCCAGGTGTTGCTCCGTAGGATTTCTCTCCACTCCATCCACTACTCTATCCGCTAACTCCTCCAACGAAGTGTATTCCTACTGTGTGTATGATGACACCATCAATAATTCTAAATTCTTCTTCACCGATTGTGTGTACACAATAGTCTTAGCCGAAGGTCCTCGATTCCACCTCGGAGTCTTCATGTCAGTATCTGTTTCCTTCTCCTCGGCTTCCTTTGATGCATCTTCCTCCGGTACTGTCAAAGGTCTCCACTCCGGAGACCGAAGATCCTTCTTCTTCTGTCCCTGCAACATGTGCTATAACTCTGCCCACTTTGCCGAAGTGAGCCGGCCTTGCAAAGCAGCTACACTGCCTTTGATGCTACTCTCATCCTCAATTATTAGCCGTCTCGCTTTCATCAAGGTGCGAGCTCGTACACTGGCAGACCTGAGTTTGGTGGGGACCGGCCTTCGGACGCGAGTTCCGACACGGTGATCAATCGTCTCCAAAATTGCGACTTCATGCAACTTACGCCTCTTCTGCGGCCGTCCTTCCACTCAATCTTCAGATCCGTCTTCTCTCCTCGAAGACAATGCAAGCTGAATGTTCTCTTGATATGTATCGACCTCATTGGCACCCAATGTCTCATCTCCGTCTACCGCATGCGTATGGAGCGGGAATCTTTTCTACTCTTCTGCGGTCAATAACTCCATCACTTTGTGGAAATTGACAAAGAAGGGAAACAAATAATTTGCTGATCCTCGCGAAGTTTCACCAACATGCTAGCGCGTGACAGACCACAGAATCCGCGTTTGGTGAATGTGTTCTACTATCAAAGCTCGCTCTTTAAATCCGACTTGCCAAGTCGTTATGTAAGTTGTTAGAGAAGGTCAAAGGATCTACATCAGAGCTACTGCTACATTACTTTGCAACCGATCGTGGTATCCTGTCGTCCTGTATCCATTCTTGCATGTAAGCGGTTTCTTGAACAAAGCATCTTTTCTCTGCGCGCATTACTTTGACACTTTCACTGTCAAAGATGAGATCGCCATCTTCACCTGCGCACCACCAAAAGACTTTCTCCCAATTCCAAATTTGCCAACGTTCGAGATTTAATCGAAGTCCATCGGCATTCAATGCACTTCTGTCATTCCACTCTTGGACCATTGCCCCGCAGACCCAATTTCATCCCATAGTAAAAAATTGAGTTTGGCGACGATCACCTCGTTACGATAAGCCCTCAATCCAACTTCAGTCACCTTCAGAGCTATCAATCAAATTCCTCTGGGTCATCCCATGGCTGCTTTTGCAATTTCACACTTCCGAACTTCAATCGTACCTCAATTCGCAACTGCGTTGAATATTGAATCATCATTTATATAATCTATTTATTTAAAATTATCTTTATTTGAATTCTGTTAATTTAAAAAAAATTATCCAATATATGAATTATGGTTGTTTGTTTTATTTATTTTAAAAAAAATGAAGGTCAAATATGTTGTAAAACGTAGATGCCGTAAATGTTAATGATTACTTATTGCTATGCAAAGTTAAATCTTTCAACAAAAATCTTATGTTTTGGTGACACTAATTTCCAAAGAGATAATCATCACAATTTCGTGATGTTGAATTCATGATTCTTTCTTGTATTTCTTTGACAAAAATTTTGCTAATTGTTACAAGAGAAATGGTTTACGGAAGAGTAAACCTATGAGCCTGAACTAGATTAAGGTGCGCAAAGAATTGGTCGGTCTGGTTATAACCTTGCTTTGGCAGCCGCGGGCTCAAGATTGGAAGAACTTCAATGGAGATTAGACGGATGAACGTGCGTAGACTGCTCATAGAAGAATCCGCAAAGACAAAAGTTTTGGGAAAAAAGTAAGCTGAAGGTCTTTTGGCAAATGTGTACTTCATATCTCCTTAAAGGGATTTGGCTCTGTGTTGCTCATGTGCGCAAGCGTTGGTACTTATTTTCTCCACATGCAATGTTTAAGAAGATTCGTGAAATATTAAATGCTGTGATGACGGTCACTGTAGAAAGCTAGATATCGAATCCTTCTAATATGAAAAGGGACTCGAGGAATGTGAACCATGTAAAGTATCAAATCCATCAAACACAAAAAGTTTGTAAATCTCCATGAAATTTCATCTGGTCCATGCTAGATAACATCGTTGGATTTGTCTGCACTTTCTTTTTCCAGGAACCTATTTTCCAAGTAGCTTTCCATTTAATGCATCATCGTGGGTTCGCACATACTTTTCTCTTTTCTCCTGGTCGTTCACTATCCATGCGAAGGGATTTCGTCCCGTGCCGCAACGGGTTCGCATGTGGCCATGCAAAGTTACTGGATTCTCCCCTGGCCCACCACATTTCTCAGATCCACTGGCCAATATATAATCTTAGATACATTAAAAAATGTTAGCGCACACCAATTTTCTCAAATTGCTACACGCTGCAGGAGAATGTTATCTGCACGTTTGTCCATTTGGTTGCTGTATGTCACATGCACGTAGCCACTACGATGACCGTGGAGTATTCCCCCAGCCCCCACCCGCTGCTTGATTTATGAAAGCACTTTAATTTGGCCATAAATATAAATACAGTAGCTGTTCGCGGCTATGGATCTGCGATTCCGGAATTCGAACTCGAGTGTCGTTTGTAGAGAGGAATCAGAGGAAGAAGTGACGTCGGGCGAGCAGCGACAAGCTCCGCAATTATGGTGGCGAGGACGGCTGGTTCGGACACCGGTGAGCTCACGCACCCGAATCCTCTTCCAGAATGCTCTCCGGGGATGAGATTGGCTCTCGGTTGAATTCCGCTTCTTCAGTTTGATGGTCTCATGATGTCTGTCGTTGATAAAATGTGAAAGTTGTTTCAGCCTCGGAGGAGGTGACGGTGGAAGGAATTCGGTGCCCCGAGCAGCGGAGCAGTGAGAGCCGCCGCCCCGAGAGCAAGTGCAACTATGTCTACGAGGGTCGGGATTTCTATCCCATGCCCGTGGTCGATTTGCATGGCCTCGAGGTCGAGGATCCGCAGATCAGAGCCTCTGTTCTGCGAGAGCTGAAGGAAGCTGCGAAGGTCGGTTGTTTCACGACGGTGAATCATGGCATCGATCCGAAGGTGCTCCTGCAGCTCAGGGAGAACTCCAACGCATTCTTCTCTCTGCCTTCCGAAGACAAGGCCAAGTGCGCCCAGGTCCGCGGCACCGGGGCCTTACGGGCCGTCGGCTACCAGACCCAATTTCAAGGCCTCACCGAGAAGGCCTCTACTGTGCCGCGCCGGGAAGTTTTCGAGATTCAAGGGTGCCCGCTGGAGGGCCGGGACTCCGTCCCATGGCCCCAGTCATCGCCTTCTTTCAGGTTGGCTGGCAGCATCGCTGCCGGTTTTGAGATTCACTTGCCCCACCTATGTGTATAATCGCCAAAATTCTTGTTCCCATGAAACCAGTTTCTCGACGAATTCATCCGAAGTGAATCTTCGTGAAGCATTGCTCTTTTCATTGCGCAAACGATTAGAATTTGGGCAAACTGCAGGATGCTGATTTTTCTCGTTAGAATAGCTCGGAGAGATAGCCCAGTGATTACTAGTGAGTAAGGAGGCGGTGAATCTCATCACCTTTATCCGTCAGTATCTTGAAGCTTGTTAAATTTGCCATCGCTTATCTCATCAGAGCTGAGGAAGTGCTTTTGCTCGGTGGGTGAGTGTAGAGAGAGCCTGGAGACTTTCGCCGAGGAAATTTGCAAACTGTCGACGTGGGTATGCGAGTCGCTGGCTGAAGCGCTGGGTTTGAGTCGGGATGCCTTTATCAAGCAGCTCGGCGGGGGTGTACATCAGCAAGTTGTCGCTTCCTCGTATCCTGTACCAGAAAATCAGCCCAAGGACACCCCAAGCTCGGTCGGGTTCGGTGCTCATACGGATCTTACTGTCATCAATGCTGTCGTGGAGGATGAGAATGGTGGGGCACAGGTGTGGCATGACGATCAATGGATGAATAAACGTCCCATTTCTGCGGGTGTCAGTTTCTTCCTCGGTGATCCCATAGAGGTAAGGTCGAGATACAAGGACGTCCTCATCATTAGCTCAATTTTAATGTATACCTGCCAAGTCGTCCCTTTTCTACTCATATTATTTGGAAATTGGATTCCAAATTCATTTCTAATGCTGTAGAGCTCCGCATTGGAAATGAAATGGAATATCCGCGGCGCACCTTCACCTACATTCTGAATTTGTCCACATCCCTTCTCGTTGGACGGAAGTTGTGCTCTTGCAGCCCCTTCTGGACTTCACGGGGTCAGGTTCTGTTTTGCTTACTTGTGAAAGTCTTCCTCCACCGATGTACATTTGCCAATGAGGCGTCAATCTGCTCAGAACTCCCTTTGTCCGTAGTAGACGAGGACTACAGTTTTGACTTGATATTGACTATTGGACCGACTGGATGACAGTGCATGAGCAACGGGATCTACCACTCGATTGTTCACCGAGTAATTGCGCCCTGTAACAACAGCAGGTTTTCGTGCGTGACCACATTGGAGCCTGTAGATAAGGACGCAACTGTGTTACAGCCGGTGCCAGAGCTGGTGGCAAGGTCGGGCCAGCCTGCAAAGTACGTTGCTTACAACTTCGGCGGCCGTGGCAAATCAGTTATGTCTCAGCGATTCGATCCGGATATTTTGACCAAGCGGTTTATGGTCACAGATTTCTCAGTCATCGATCCCTTGCGGAATTTTTCTTACAGAGACGGTGTCTTTTATATCGGAAGCCGGCCGCTTGGAAGTTTAACAGAAGAGTCCCCTTCCGGAGGCAAGGAAGCCTTTTTGCGCTGCCGGTCAGCGGCTCTGTGGCGCCTCTGACCAGTACGTCACTAGCGAACAACCGGTCGCTCCAGCAGATCCGGAGCTGTATAAAGCGAAGTTGGTGCTCAAGGTATGGGAAAAGTTTGGGTAGAGAGTTTAACTTCCCCATAGTGTAATCTCGTGTGAGTGATATTCAATTCGAGAATCTTTGTAACTAGTGAATCTGGCCAATAGTTACAGAACGTCACTAAATATCAATAGTGATATGATATACTCAATAAGGACAGTTTCAATTATAATTTTGGAATCAAAATTATTACGATGAAAAAAGATCATGTGTCCTATCTTTGTCTCGACAATTTACTTCTTCTAGGTTTCATCTCGTTACAGATTGTTTCACTTATATTTTTCTCATATGTTTATATTCAAATGCAATAATAAAAGTAACATTAATTGTTCGAAATAATGCAAAATAGTCAACAACATAAATCTTGCAACCAGAGAACGTTCTATTATGAATAAAACTTGTGTGAGTGACATCTCTCAATAGTGCGATCCAACGTACGTAACTATTGATCACCAATGTATGTAACTATTGAGATTTGATACGTATGGCCACGCAATTTGTTCTTGTGAGTGAAATCTCCCAGTGAAGTAAACCCCAGCACCAATGTATGTTACTATAGGTATATTCTCGGTCCCATTCATTTATTCGAACCCGGACGGGAACATGAGCATCATGGCGTCCTCAGGTCAGGCGGTCCAACGTTGTCCCTCCCCTGGAAATAGATCTCGCATATTTTCGTGGTGTATTTCCCGTGGATTCATTCAAAATTGTAATAATGTCAAATGCACTCATGATAACCCATCATTCATTCTTCTATCTTCTCGAATTTTATTATTTGAAAAAAAATAGTTCATCTTTATTTTATATAATTTTTTTAAGAATATGGTATTTTTACATTAATCATGAACATATCAAGCCATAACACTTCTTTTATATAAATAAAGTGTAAGATCTAAATTCAAGTGATATACTTTGAGATGTATTTTTTACTTAAGTTTATTTCTAGTAAAACATCCAAAAAAAATTAATTTATAAATTTGAATTAGATTGAAAAACACAATTAAATCAAGTTATTCAGATAGAAGGTATATTTTAGTTTGTGAGATATATTTAAAATAATAATTTTTTAAATTCTTATATACTATGTGTCATTTTTGTCATTATTTCACAAATTGTTACATTAACTCAATTATAACCTTTTTTAGCATGATGTGATATTTTCTTTTCCAAATTTGATTTTTATATTTTAGTAACATCTATTTCGATTTTATTAAAAAATCCATTTAAAATGATTTTTTCTGATACCATCTACTCTGAACTTATGAAAGTGTATTTAGATGAAGTTGTAAGTGCATGATCTTTGAATTTTATATGATAATCAGTCAAAACATTTATCATCAAACACAACGAACATGATTAATAACGTAATATAACAAACAAATTATAACAACAAACATAATATAACGTCAAATTCATGTCATTTAGTCATCATTTTACTATAAATTTGCAAATTCTTTATGAACACATTCTAGAAATTTACACTTTAATTTTTAATCTGACATATATACACATATATATCTCTCGATAGTCTCTCGGAAATGCATGTTTATCGCTCCAATCATTTCAAAGATGCAAGTCAGGTATGTATTTCAGGTTTTCACATATCTCGTGAGAAGCGAACTAAAATGATTCCGTTTCGGTTTTAATCTGCTTGGTCAACAAATGTATACCGAGGTAGTCGTCAATTTAAATGAGTGTCGTCTTATGCAGGTGCGGATGGATGATACTCCCTCGTTGGTGAAAGAATACAGGTAATTGCTTCACAAGCAGTCTAAAGCACAATTAGTCCAACGTTCAGATGAGGCAGACTGAATGGAGCGTTGAAGTCTTGAAGAGCTCGTATTGGAACAGTACCAAGAGTTCGTGTTTATTTCATGTGAAGTGGAATGATCGTGCTTTCTGCAATTGCGCTAACAGATGGTGAGTTGAAACACATTTGTATCTGCATCTCATTGCATCAAGCATCAGTTCATTTTAGTGTGTCATAAGTCGAGAATCAGAACAGCACTTATTTGTTAATTGAAATCAATTAGCCTCAACTTCCATCTATTAATTTGGCGGACCCTGATGACGAAAGTGCACCCGACTACTGGTAGGTCGGGCCTACTCGTAAGCCAATCGTTCAGGAGGCGTTGAACTTTGGCACACCATGATTCTCATATTACGGTTCATTCGGGGATCAAAGAGCCATGACAACATAGTGTATTGGTTGCTCCAGACCTGGACTGTTTGTTTTTCTGCTCGCTGACGCATTAGTATATGATAGCATACACAAGCTCCTGCATTACAGGTTTGTCCCGCAGTGTGCTGAACTACAGCCAAGATGAACAGATTTAAGATTCTTCTTATATCATTGTTCTAAGGGTAGCTATTTTTCTGCACACTTACCACAACAACATGGGCGGTAATTTGGTGTCATGTGTTGATGATTCAAGGATAATCTTACGAGATACGGGACAGCATATGGATGCGTAATATTGTTCCTTGATGTAAATCAACGTAATCGAAATCTCCTGTTCTTTATTGTAGATCAGATTCGTACATACCTCAATCACCTGCAATAAGGATTCTTGTGTACCTCCTTGCAAATAGAAATTAATCTTGTGGCAATTTACTTCATGAATTTGTTTAAAGTGGTTATGGTCTGTACTCTGTACAGACCATATTCGGTCAATGCAAAGTGGTTGTGATGATCCCCTATCTAAAGCGCATTATTTGATCCATGCCTTACCATACAATTTTTTGAAGGTACTATCTTTGAGTAAGCTCTGAAGAAGACAAATTTCTTGGTTGAAAAATAGCTTGTCCAAGTCTATTTCTCAAAGAAAATCATTTGCCGGAAACAATAGAGAGCACCTAGTGTTGTTAGAATTTAGTTACGGAGTGTAGTATAGTGATCAGATTAGAATAATTTGTGGTGTTAGATCTTCCATGTTCTCTATCATACTTATCTCCTTTGCTACTTAAGGTATACTACTCTCACTAATTAGATTTTGAGTTCAGAAACATGGTATTAGAGGGAAATGCTTCGTTTTTCTTCTGCTAGCAATCGACCATTAGATGCCGGTCTTGTAAGCACATGCCTTCCTGATAGAAGACAACTTGTTGTTCTATGAACTTAGCTAGCAGTGGACAGTTTCAAAGTTTTCCGAATCTATGAAGATTTCTGGACGTGACAACTATTTCAATTGGTCAATCCGGCTCCAAACAATTCTTAGCAACAAATATTGTTGGGTTGAGATCGTAAACCAACCGATTCTACTTCACAAACCATCCGCACACGTTGTATCAAAGCCATAGCTCTCATTCAGATCACTGTACATTCTGACATTCTACCTTCTATTTCAGATTTTGAGTACACTCATACAAAGCTTTGGACTCACCTTTGTCAGCGATATGAATCAAATAACACAAAACAAAGGCTCATTCTCTCCCACTCGTTGTCCTCACTTCAGCTTGTAGATGGCGCTTCTTTTGATAAGTTTCTACAACAAGTAGACTCTATCGCTGATCAGCTCGCCGACATTGGTCATAGACTACCAAGCATTGACCTCACACATCACACGCTAAAGAGACTGTCGGCTAGCTACAGCCCTTTTGTGCATAATTTTTTGGGCAAAATGGATCGCCAACCTCCTCCGTCATATCAAGATTTTGTCAAACATCTTCAGTACATGTAGTACTTCACCAAGAGGAAGACACAATCAAACGAGAAGCTAATTTCTCCGCTATCAAACACCATAACTTCCGTGCTCGCTCAAATGATCCTCCTCGATCAACTTGTTCTCATGTTACCTCAACACCACAAGCACAATGAAATATGCCACAATCAACACGTTGTGATTACTATTGCAAGGCTAAGCATCTTCTCGATGACAGTCATTTACAAAAATTAGACGAGTTCATTGCACAGCTGCAAATTTGCGCATCCAACCTCCGTCGCAGCAACCGTGATCAGGTCCACATGATGGAAGAAGGAGATCCTATGATGCAGAAGTTCCTAAAGAACCTCTAAACAAAAAAGCAAATTTTACAGGTGACAACTCTCCGATAGTTGATGTTTATCATGATTCGGGAGCAAGCAGCCATGTCACAGAATATCGTTCTCTCCTATTGTCATTTCAAGCATGTATTTTCTATTTGTATTTTCTTATTCTCAATGAAACTTTCATTGAGAATAAGAGTGTCTAGTGCCAATGGGGTTTGTCTTTCTCTAGCCGGAAAAGGTTCTTTATGTATTGACTCTAATAAATCCGTCAAACACGTTCTGTATGTTACTGATTTACAAAACATCTCTTGTTTGTAGGCCGCCTCATTAATTCAAAGCATTATGCACTCTTTACGCCTTATGTTTTCTCTCAGATGAGAAAGATCCAATCAGTATATTGTTATACGAAAATGGAGATCACAAGAGTAGATTGTATAAGATTAGGCCTTTTTATCCTCAGTGATATGAAGAAACCAAGCAACTACTTACAAAGATTCATGCATAGAGCTGCATGAACTTATCTACTATCCCGATTTTGTCGGGATTGCTTAAAACAATCCGATTTTTGCAACTTTACCGACCATTGACACAATAATCCATTGGCATCAATGACTACGTCAATTGAATTTCTAGACGGCACATCATATGTCGTCAAAACGCTTTGTGAAAGGTTTCACTTATTTACTATCAAATCGTGAACATAAGTGCGTCACTTGTGTTTTGTCCAAGCACAAACACCGGTAGAAAGCCACAATAATATAAAATACGATGACGAAGACACATTAGTCACATTTTGAAACGAACATTCTTAGAACGGGCAGTCAACAATATTGATTGGACTTTCTAAATAAGTTGAACTCCACAATGCATACTGTACTATCTAAAAGCAGGTAGACTTTATCGTAACTTTTAACACAAAGTTGGCAGCATGCCCATTCGAGATGAATGGACATAAAGAAAGCAAGGGGACCAATTTTTCTCTCGCTACGACCAACATTCTTGAACCATTGAGTGGAATTACCTGAAAGAACTTATTGCCAGCTCAGACTAAAACCACTTATAGCAACCACTGAAATTTTGTCTAGAGAACCAGCTACCAGCAAGTGTGTTAAGGACAATGGGAGATGAGAGTGTGGTTTCAGTCATCAAAAACCCTCTACCACTTCAAAAGTACAAGATTCATCTGCATTGGAGGTCTAAATATACAACTGGATATGCACATGTATGTCATTATTGACACATGCCACTGATGAGCAGAGAGAAATAGCACGACCATTCTTCGATACAGAAGTATTCCCGCATGACTTTTGTCCCTAATATTCTGCTCAACCCAGGAGAAAAAGGGTATGGCAGGAGTACAAAGTCTTGAATCAAGGCTTCTCATTCAATTACGGAATTTTCAATAGATCCTTCACACAACAACATGTAGATGATTGTTAATCATCCATCTTAGAGAAAGATGGATGATTAACAGAAATTGAACAGATTTGTTTGCTTTAGTCTCAACTTTCCTACAAAATCTTTTAACAGTTATACACAAATGTAAC